TTGATAAGAAAGATACATGTTACAACATCGGGTGTTTCCTCTGCCTCTCCCTTTGTCATCTAAAAAGATCGGCCTCTCGCCCTATCTGATTCACCTCTTCGGATGTTGACTCCCCCACACATACTCGAAGTATTTCCACCGAAAGTCAATACTGGAGCCTTTAACTAGGGACAATCTGGCTTAATATGATCGGGAGAATTACAATAAAAACACCGGTAAGGAATCCTAAAATTTCTGGACAAGTGCTCTGGCTCCACACATCTATAACACTTCATCTGTTCAAAATTACAGTCACCTTGATGAACACAATGACATATCTGACACGGTCTTTCATTATATCGTTGGGCAAGACGATTTTGTGTTTTTACAAATTTTGGTCTTCTATATTCAGTTGAAGACCCTTCCCATTTCCTTTTCTCAACTACTTTATCCTCTCCCTGTCCGTTCTTGTTCCTTTCTGTTGTTTCTGCCGCATCTACTGCTAATGGAAAAGTTGAAGGGATCCTTGCAATTACAAATTCTCGTATCGAAGGCTTTAATCCCCAGATATACCTCTCAACTTTTCGAGATTCTGATGAAATGTAGTACTCTTCAAATTAGAAATGCTCAATAAATTTATCAGTGTACTCTGGTAACGTTTGATTACCTTGTTCTAAATTTAAAAGTTCTTCTTCTAATTTTCTGACTACCGCTTTTGGGTAGAATTGCTCCCTGAATCAGTCTACAAATTCCATCCAAGACATTGTTTGCAAAAACATTGGGTCTTGCTAATGATCCAACATCCCACCATTATAAGACATTAGACTTTAGTATTGACACATCAAATCTGACTCTATCCTCGTAAGAACACTTACTGGTATTGAATACAGATTCTATCTCCCTTAACTAGCACATTGCCTTCACAGGGTCTCTTTCTCTGGAGGATATTGGGGTTTACTGGTTAAAAACATTTTGATATCGCCCCATCTAGTGTTTGTCGATTGGACTTGTGGATTTATTTCGACCCTTTCTGTTTCCACCCTGGTCGGTACTCCCAAAATAAAAGTTAGAGTATTTCTCAACTTGCTCATTTCTTCTGCTAACATGTCCCTAGTAACATACTCAGGATGTTGTACTGTTCTTGATTCACATTCTATTGAAGTGGTTCACCCTGGTTTGGCTGAATTTCAGGTTAACTATTCTTTCCTCTCCCACGTCCCTTGGCCCGACCTCTCCCTCTACCAGTTGTAGATTTGTATGAATATTTTAAGGTGAACTTTCCCTCTCGCCCAGGCTGATGAGAAAGATCCTTTCAGATATTCTTGAATGGCTTGCCATATGTAAATTTTCAAAATTTAATATTCACATAATTACATTCTCCAAATATAATAAGGTATTTGTTGATCATCTCTCTCAGTGATTTGATGATGATCCCTTTTATCTATTGAAGTGTATTATTTTTGTATTTGGTTTCAGCGATCATCACTAAGTATGTTCAGTGATCGCTGAACATGTATTGTAATTCGTTCAAATACCAATATACTTCAAGAAGAAAAAACTTGCACCACATATCCTTCAACGATATCAAAGACATAAGATGAAGATTAGAGACCAACAAGTACTTGATCTGAAGAGGTTTTTAGTAATAACAAGTTCATATACACAAGTAGGAAATCTGCACAAGATTCAGCGAACACTGATGAGACCTTTAACATCATTCCAATGTTCAGCAATCAAATGAATCTTGTCGAGCAAGATAGTTTTTGTCTTGTCCTTCAGCATACAAAGGACAAACTTATACCTTTCTAAGTAAAGTACAGTACAGAGTGACTTTTTTGACTCCAAACATGTTCTACTTTATGAAAGAGGGTTGTTCATATACAGCCAAATGGACTGTATACTGTAACAAAGGAGAAGTTTTCCTCTAAAAGCTTGCCACGTGTTTTGTACTTTTTTAATTGTACTTAATGCAATGGGTATAAATAGCTGAGTAGTTCTCTTCTCAGCTATCATCTTTCTCACTCAAAACTTACCCAAGAAGTTAATTCTCTCTCTACTCTGTGTCTAAGAGAAATACTCACTTTAACAAGTGAAGAACACATTACTTCTTACCTTATTTCTTGTAGCAAGTCTTTTCTTATTGTTATCTGTAATTTTGTGTGTATCTTAGATTATTTAGATAGGTTCTGTATCATATTTCTTTCTCAAACAATCTGTAAAATTTGTATTCATCCCTCCCTTCTACAAACTGTTACCTATAAACTTTTATAGATCCGGCTGGAACCAACAAGTGGGATCAGAGCAGTGTTTTTGTATTGTATTGTATTGTTGTTTTATTATATATTCTTCTTTAGATAATTTATTCCTTTCAAAATGGTTTTGTAAAACACTAGCACAAACTTTCATGATAACGACTCTCTTGTCAAACCTCCCCGATTTATTAGAGACAACTTTAGTCTCTGGAAGAATCAGATGTCTCTCTTCTTGAAAAATATGATCCTGAATAATATGATTTCATTAGTGAAATTGGTTTTAATGAATGAAACATTTTGAAAAATGAATAACATGATTTCATTAGTGAAATTGGTTTCATGGTTCCTAATCAAAATGAAATTGGTTTTTTTTTTTTTTTTTTTTTTTGTAAGGGTGTCCGGGCCAAAGCCCGACTAATCCCCGGCAAATTTGGAGGCTAAACATGGCCCCACT